GGCTTGCTTTTTAGTTTCTTGATCTTGTTTCTTTTTTTCCTCGGCGGCCTTTTTTTCTCTTTCTTCTCGTTCTTTTTAGTTAATTTTTCTTGTTTTTCTTGTTTTTGTAGAATTTTTTTCCTTTTCAACTATTTGTTCATCAATTCTCTTAATTTTGTATTCTACTTCCCATGTTTTCCCATGAACCTTGTCATGATGAGTTGTTACTAATTCCATAAGTTCTTCCTTTTCTAAAAAGACTTTGGCATCATTGGCCAATTCACCAGTGGGAAAACTAATGAGATAGGTAATTGCTTTGCTATGAAGAAAAATTTTCTTGAATGCTGGTTTGCCGATGAACTTGCTGGTCAATTATTTTCTGTCTATTAGAGTAAATATCATGTGCCGAATGGTAGAAATTTTCACTTCAACTTTTTACCTCAATAAAATAAATATTTTCGGCAGTTTCTCCATAAATATCAATTTGTAAATCCTCTATTTCTTGTCAATTTTTAATTAACTTTTCAAACTTAATTTTTTTATTATTTAACAGCAGTTGGTATACCTCTTCTTCACCTTGTTCTCCAACTACTTTGGCGATTGAACCGGCTGGAGTTAGATGCGGATTTAGTTTTGGGTCGGTATTTTTTAGTCATAAACCGTTGGGTTGCAATTCTATCAAATTCGGGTCCGAGCATTTAATATACCGCGAGTATTCTTCTCAACTACTAGCGGTCAGATATAATTATTTTTTAGTCCGGGTGATAGCCGTATAAAATAAAAGGAAAATTATTAAAGAAAGGAAAGTAAAAAAGTGTGAAATTAATTGTGAGGTGGATAAGTCATTTATAGCCTATATATAAATGGTAAGGGGAAATGTAAAGAGTGTGCGACCAAACCTGTATTAAATCAGTTAACTAAATTAAGACTAAAATCTGAATCATTAGTCATAACGGCTAATTGGAATTTTAGAAGATGCTGAGCAATTAAGAGAGATGATAAAAGAACTAAAACCCAAGAGCAAAAAGTTAGTAGGAAAATAAATTTATCTTTTCTTTTTCTACCTCTTCTAATTTTAGGGCTTGATTAACATGAAATTTTCCCGAACTAATTCTCCTTAATTGGCTGACAGTGGCTATTGTTCCCATTTTTTCGGCGATGTCCTTTGCTAAACTACGAATATAAGTGCCTTTGCTACACTCTACTAAAAAATTTATCTTTTCTTCACCAGGCAAATAATTTGATAGTTTTATTTTCTCTATTTTTACTAATCGCGGTGGTGCTTCTACCAGGATACCTTTTCTAGCATATTGATATAACTTTCTCCCCTTTATTTTTATGGCTGAATAAATTGGAGGTTTTTGTCAATATTCATAGTTATCAAAAGAGTTAATGACCTCTTGAATCTGTTTTTTGGTAAATGCTTGCGGATTTTCATCCTTGATTATTTTCCCGGTTATATCACCAGTATCAGTTTCCAAAAATAATTTCATTTCCACTTCATAAGTTTTGAACTGACTAATTAATTGATTGCTTAATTTGGTGGCTTTACCCACCATAATCACCAATAAGCCGGTAGCCAAGGGGTCCAGTGTTCCAGCATGTCCAACTTTTTTTATACTTAATTTCTTTCGAATAATTTCAATGACTTTATGCGAGGTAATTCCTGATGGTTTGTCGATTAAGAGTATACCATCCATATCATAAATTTAATAAAAAAGATTAATATAAGGATCTTTAGCTCAATGGTTAGAGCTCCCGGCTCATAACCGGGTGGTTGGAGGTTCAAGTCCTCCAAGATCCACCAAAAGAATTATAAAACAATTATTTAATTAATACTATATAATAAATTAAGTTAATAATCAATCCATAATTTTTATTAAAAAGAAAATATCATGTTTAAAGGATTTACTAACGAATTAAAAACAAAAATAGAAGAATTTAATCAAAATTCAAAAAGATTTATCTTTTGTATTAGTGATTTAGAATATAGTTCAGACCGAGGAGCAGGAGAACATAAATTTAATATTCGTTCCCCCGAATTACGGCAAAAATTAGAAAATGTAATTGGTGTATCTAATCCAAGAGCAATTAAGTTTATTGATGTTTTTTTGATTGAAAGAGAAGAAATTTTTTCGGCTCGTTCTACACTTCCTGCTTGACTTAAATGAAAAGGAGTTAATAACTATGAAACTTGAATTATGTTTAAAAAGAAAAATCATAAAAGATCTCTGGCTGACCTAAATCAAAATAACAACACTAGAACGATATACATACCAGGTGATATTAGTTACAAATGAGAGGTTGAGGTTAATACACTTGATTATTTTTGCCGACCTAAATCTTATTTAGCAGGTAAAAGAGTTTTGAATTTTGAAAGATCGGAGGGAGAAAAAGTAGAGAAAGCAGAAAAAGAAGCAATGAAAAAGCACAGGGAGATTATTTCTAGGGTTAGTAGTGAGGCTCTTCAAGAAATTAATGAAACCCTTTCTGGATGTAATATGGACATATCAACCGCCGAGATTGATTGAATGGCTATTTTACCTGAAGATTGTTCTTGTGAAGTTAAAGAGTTTGGTAATGCAGAAAATAATAAACTTCACGCAAAACACATAAATAATTGCTTGTGGCGAGAAGAAAGTGAAATAAAAGCTTTCAAAGATAAAATGATAGAAGCGATTTTAAGTAAAGGAGGGGCTAAGTTTAAAGAATACAAAAACTCAATCATCCAACAAATCATCACTCAAGCCCAAGGACAAGGCATTAGTGAAGCCGAATTAAATAATAACCGCCCCAACTGGCAAAATACTTTGCTTTCTCTAAATAGCCCCAAAGAAATTACCGACTATCGAACTAACTATCTCGAAAAAGACATCAAAAATCTAGTCTCTGCCAAATCCAAATCCGCCCAAGAACGTCAACCAGCCGAAGCAGCCGCC